ACATCTAATGCGAACCAGGTCTGTGAGCTTTGCTAGGGTATGTTATTCCCGTCTGATTTGTGAATTGGGCAGGTATGGGGTAAACAAGGTGCATCCAGTCATTGGTGTATCGGTACTTTAAGCCTTATGTGCGTGAGGTGTATCATATGTACATACATAGGTACATACCTACATTGCTCCATGATTGTGCATGTTGTGGTTTCACATCATACCAATTGACATTACTATGTACAATACCTAATGTATGTGCATATATATTTATTTAACAATGGCAATTAATTTATGAAGCTGGATTGAAAGTTAAATTTGTATTCTTATTATTACAAAGAAAAATTTAATAATTTTTTTCTTTCCTTTTAGAATTTCTTTTAATATCTATAGGAAATAATGTTATTAATGCTCCGTTTGTAAATCCTGATTTAGGCATGTTGATAAGGTCCTTAGTATACAATTGCATTATCCAAGACCTTGGATACTGTACATAGTGACGTATGTACTCATACTTAATGTAAGTGCGGGAAGGAAACACCCTGCGCCGCTATATTTATGGGTCTCAAAGCTTAGTGGTTACCCAGCAACGATTACGAGACCCCTCTGTTTTTATTCGGTGGTTGCGCTAAGGTAACTAACTGTAACCTGTTCCAATACCGCCCCGAGCTTCTAATATTGAACTTTAGTTATGTTCTAACACCCAGAACATCCCAATCACAATCCAAAGATCTGAATTGATGTGCTGGCATTCTCCAGAGTTTCCCGTTACTGCTTTTTACTACGTTTGCAACCTTCAACACCCCTACCGTTGACTTGTGCTTAGGGCTTAGTACGGTTTAATAACCATAATAATAATACAGCGTATTATTGCTAGTATTATTGCTATTATTGTACCGTCTTGTTGATCCCTTTGAGTCCCCACGAGCAACCACACCGCCCTTAGATGCTATTGACTCTACCGACTTTCTCAACTGCGTATTCTGCGTGTTTACTCCATCACCCTGCAGCAACCGCCGAATACGCCGCCAGGAATTCAGAATAAACTCAAATTCGCCGAGTCTGTCTGATTTACCTATGCCAACGCTACACCTTCAACCTGGCGAATAGACGACTACCAAGACTTCGAATATCGGCACAATGGGATCAGCACCGCCGCTACCCACGCGGTTTCCGTGCTGGTGTAGAGCCGTATATTCTTGGGGAGGAGAAGTATGCATTTGATTTTTTTGGGATATCACGGTGACTTTGTTTACTTTGCTAACCTTCCTTTCAGTCCCAACACGACCTGGGATTCATTGAGGGAGACTTAATAGAGTGTCTAAACGCGGGGGATGGGTCATGGTGGACAGGCAGATTGCGGCGCAACAAGACTGTTGGCGTCTTCCCGTCCAACTTCGTCGAGGTATTACCTCAAGATTTCCGACCGATAACCAGGTCGGTGAGCCCATTGACAACAAGTAACACGCCGAGTCCTACGAATGCGCCGCAGAAATCTAAGTCGCGAATCTTTCGAAAGCCTTTTGAGGCCTACGCGAAAGCACCTCACTACACAACCGCGAAACAACCCGAGATAATAAAGCAGCCCGAGGTAATAAGGAAGCTTTCTAACACACCGCCCCGAAAGAATTCAGCCAGTTCATTTAGGAATAGTACGCGCCAGGCTATTCGGAATATCGACCGCGATCCGTCGCCATCTGAGCTTCGGCGGCACGAATCGAGAGCCCCGTCGCCTGCGCCTCCCCCTCCTCAAGCTAGCTCATATATGCCTAGAGCCGCATCTCCTGCCCCCCCTATACATTCATATGGCTCCAGGGGTCCATCCCCTGTTCCGCCGCAGTCATACAACTATCAACGAGAACCCTCCCCCATCCCACCCTCGCCGGTGCAACACTATGGATCGAGAGGACCGTCGCCGGCCCCGTCATTTAGTTTTAAGCCGTACCGGCCTGGAGCAGAGCGCGACTCACCTCCGCCCCCTGCTCCACCGCCCCATCGTCACGTTATCGCCAGGGGAAATTCGACCGCGTCAAATGCGTCTTATGACAACCGACGTCCCCATGAAGGATATCATACACCGCGGGTCCCTTCCCCGAGTCCTCACTCCCCAGCCGTTGACGGGTTTACCCCTTCGCCATTACGTGAAGCTATGGACGGCGTAATTGAGCAACTAGACGCGTTAGGAATGGCACACGAGGCAGAGTCACCTGAGCCACCGTTGGACCCATGGTCTCCCGAGTCCTTCGACTTAGTCCATCATCGAACAAAGAAGAAAGGGCATCAACCAAGACCGCTAACATCCATTGGTCTGCCGTTTCAAGATTCGGGATACGGATCCTTTGACGGCGGCTCGCCCCAGGATAATACACATCACAGTAGCAGTTTTCCAGAGCAACCACTTCCGCAGATAAGTAATTATGTGGAAAGAATGGAGACACGTCTTCGCAAGATGCATCATAAAAGCTCAAGCGCAGGAGTCCTGGATCATCGTGATCATGAAGAGGATACAGCCCCCCCACCGCCGCCGCCGCCTAAGAACCCCCTATATAGCCGACCTAAGTCTTCGATAGGTGATCACTTCTTTGGAGACCGTAAATCCATCCGCAAGCAGAAGTCGTTCTATGACATCGGACAGCAGCTGGATAGAACAGGGACGACGAAGACCAATTCGACAGACGCTTCTTCCGGCAACCGAAGTATAATGACAAATAGCACGAACCGAAGTCTGATGAGTGGCGTGTCCGCAGGCGGAATTAGCGCTACGAGTGCTGGTAGTCTGGCTAGGAAGCAAAAACGAGCACGGAGCGCACTGGGATTCCGAGACGGTGATGACGAGGAAGATTGGGATGCGAATCGCCCAACCACGCCGTTTACCGGAGTGTCGTATCACCCAAGTCACTCCACGTCAGCTTTGCGTCCCCGGTCACAGGTTGCCTTCAACGAAGACGGGATTGCGCCTATTGGGGGTCTCGTGCAGCCTGGAAGTGCTAAACCTAAGAAGCAAAATTTCATTAAAAGGATTCTAGAGGCAACAAAGACTGGTGTTGCCAGTGGTCGTAGTAGTATTGCGATGAGCCCGGGGTCTGGGCAAGTTTCGCCGTCTAAGCGCTCGATAGCTCTCGGGATATCAGCAATTACAGGAGCTAGTAGCACAAACCTATTGCGAGACCCAGCCACAGATATGGGGCTCAGGAACGATGGGGACTGGGTCCAAGTACGGAGGGATGTTAACCGATCGAATACGTTGAGCAAAAACGAGCGTAACGAGCGAAAAGATCGTTGCTTAATGTTAGATTACCCGGCGATAGATCCCGTCGATGAGCTTTATGAGAGCGTCGAAGGGGATGAAGGAGCTGACGGAATGCCGGTTCACGAACCCATCAATTATCAGGTCATAAATCTGAGCCAGGTCGATAAGAACTCTCGCTTCATCAATAGTTTACCGCCGATGACGACAGCCGTGTCCCTCGCCACGACTTACGTATGCAGACCATACAAAAGTGACGTCCAACGTCTCCGGGCAATTTTCACTTGGGTCGCGGAGAATGTGAATTGGGAGGAAGATTACGAAGGGGATGTGGATACGCGGCGAGTGATCCAGACAAAGCGAGCATGTCCCCAAGAATATGCTGTTCTCGTCCACGAGATGTGTACTGCGATTGGCATACACTCTGAAGTCATCCGTGGCTACCTCAAGGCTCCCGGCGAGGTCCCCGAAACGACTATAATGCCTCGATCAAACCATTGGTGGAATGCCGTTATTATTGATAACGAATGGCGCATGATGGATTGTTGTCTTGCAAGTCCTACCAATTCCCGTCGGGGCTTGTACTCGAGCGCTAGCAATTCGACCGCGGAGTTTTGGTGGTTCCTCGCTCGTCCCGTCGAGCTTTGTTGGACTCACATTCCCGAGCACCATAGCCAACAACATATCTGCCCACCTGTATCTCATGAAACGTTACTCAACCTACCCGGCGTCTGCCCTCCGTTCTTCAAGCAGATGATCTCCATGGTGGATTACAATACGTCGTTAACTCGTATCGAAGACCTCGAGATGGTACACATCAAGTTCAACGTGCCCCCTGATATCGAAGTGGCGGCCGAAGTCGAAACTAAAGGGTTCACACGAGACGCAGACGGCGACTTATTCGAAAGCGGCGAAATAGTGAAGAAACGCGCACTTGCGCAAGCCGACTGGTACGGCGGCATAAAACGATACACGGTAAAGGCGCTTCTACCAGGCGACGAGGGCAGCGGCATCTTGAAGGTGTACGCTGGCAAGCGCGGTCTTATGCATAGTATTAAAGACATCCCGCACCCTCTCGCCTTTGCCTTGCCGATCATTCACACAGGCGAAAATCCGCCTTACGAGTTTGTTACTCGCCACCCGACACCGCATGCGCAACGTCACGATATCTACGTTGCTCAGCCGCAGTGTCAGCGGTTGGCACTCAACAATACCTTCGTCTTCGCCATCCGGCAACACCCATCCAGTCCGGCAGGCGGAACGGGCAGCAACCCAGGAGGTACGAGCCCGGTGCCCTTCGCGCGGCCGGCCAGCGCCATGAGCATGACCAGCAGTAGTGCGGCGGGGTCGAATCCGAGCTCGGCTACGGGCAGCATCGCAGGTAAGAAGCCGGCTAAGCTAGCAATCCAGACACCTGGCGGCAAGATCCTGCGGCTCATGCGCAAAGAGGAGCGCGTCGGCAGGTCCGGGATCGGCGTGGGAGGCCGCAGCGCCGACGAGGAGGCCAGCGACGGCGGCACGTGGGAAACCATCATTAAGTGTTCTGAGCGCGGCGTCTGGCGCGGCCTGGTGCTCGCGGACCGGACAGCGCGATGGTGCGTGTTTGCAGAGTGGGTTTGCGTCTGATGAGGGGAAGACCAAAAACGAAACGAAACGAATAAGGAAAAGAAGAAATGAAACTAAAACTGTCCAACCAAACCCCAAATTCCGGGGTTCTACTACTACTGCTGCTAAGGCGCACGTGCTACTGTGGTACTAAGGATGGGGATACGAGGGCGAGGACCCTACGGATGACCGGACTGGACTGGACTCAAGCTAGGCTACGCGCTGGTTGGTTTTATTAATGGCGGCCGGTGGCTTGTGTACTTGTGGCCGGGCAGTGGCGGTGGTGCAGTATATACCTACATGCTCATCTGTCTGCATTTGCGTGGCGTTTTCGGGTTTAAGGCGAGGAGCACTGCATTTTTTTATATGTTTTTCAAAAGGGAAACCATCGGATCACCTTTTTTTTCTGACATGTCTTGTCTTTTTTCGGTTGTCTTTTTTCTTGCGTTTAGCACGGCTGGCATGGATATGATTTTGATCATGTTTTTTTTTTTTTCACTTTGTACTCTACCTTCTCACGCGAAGGCAAGACTTCTTTTTTTTTTTTTTTTTTTTTTTTTTTCGCTTGGCAGCATAAGGCACGATTTGACGGGCAGGTTTGCCGCAAGACAAGACAAGACGAGACGAGAAGAGACGTTGGTTGATATCAATCACATATCAAATACCATGCATGTATGTTGACGTTCAATGTATAGTTGTAATGCGGATTGCTGTGCGTTATGCGCGGCGGACGCTATGTATTCAAGAGAAAATAGGATTTGCTGCTGCTATGGATTTGCGTCTTAGTGAATAGTGAATTGTTTGATTACCCAAAGCTTAACTAACCTAACTTATTGTAAAAGTACCAGTGATTGATCCGTATATTAAAATGTCCTACAGTTACCTAACTCTAAATCAACGCATGTGAAGCAAGAGAGAATTAAGCTATAAAACTGAAGATGAATGCTGGCATGAAGTGCGTATTTTTAATAATTACCTAATATTGAAGTTTACATAGACAGCTTCACGATTTGCCTTGGTGTGGTTGTTAGTATGAAGGATGGATTCGGTACCGCCGAGAAGAGTCTAACCTAGAATGATTTCTAACTTGCGGCATATGACCTGACGACCAGGGAAAAAAAAAAATAGCAGTGACAGATGACAAGGGTAGACGCAGTCTATCTCGCGTGACGTAATTAAGATATGCGGTAGATGTTAGAAGTAGTGTACCTAAGTAATAATAAGAGGTCGTCGAGAAAAGACATACATGCATAGGTTACTGCATTCGAAAAGATTGCTACTTGGAGATGGTTAAGAGACGATGAATTGAATAATTGATCCTTACACCCTTACAATGGCCATCGATAACTTCGCATACGTGCAGGACCAATCAGTCCATCGCGGTAGAAATTTATCAGAATAGGTAATAAATAGACCGAGTCGGACCGTCTCCGCTACCAAAGTCCCTTTTAAATCGTTTGATAATACCAGGTTCAGGGAAATACATACATACCTCCTTGGGTATGAATGGGGAATCATAAACCCACTTGGATTTAGTTGCCAAGTATCAAGGTATTGTACCTAACTCAAACTACGTAGTTACCTAGGTAAATAAAAACACTCAATTGACCATTATCGAATTAATAGGTTAGTAATCAATCAATTAAGTCTGCCAGTCACGCCCTTAACAAATATTTTTTCTCTAATACATATTACATATCCTTTTGCCCCTGACCTCGCAGAAATCTGACATAGGTACCTAGGTATTAACTAAGCATAAAAAAAAGATTGGTTGGTTGGTTGGTCAAGGTACCCGACACGGACCAGGGCCTTCTAGAACCAAGCAGGCCTTAGGAGATGAGCGCGGTACACGTAAAATCAACCCGTGCTAGCGCAACTAGGGGCCCCGACCAATGGCCGCGCGCCAAAACTATGGGCGCGGAGCCGCATTATCAAGGGGCCCCGTCGAGCCAACGACAAAACGGCCGACGCTATCGCCGCGGCTCCACAATGAAGCCGAGTGTACCGAGTCAGGACCAGATGCTGGCTCTCTCTCTCTCTTTTTCTTTTCTCCTGCCATCTTTACTGTATGTCGGCCGTTTAGGAGTGCAGAGAGTAGTTTTCTTGGTTAACTATATTAATGTCCTTCCGTACTTTCACACCGGTCGGTCCGGTGTGAAGGAAAAGAAGGGGCCTTTCTGGGGTAAGGGGCAATACCTAATGTGTAGTGCATCTCTCGGCCAATAGGCGGTGGGAGTTCTCGTGTGACCTCCTTGGAAGTTTGACGATGGGGATCGTAAGTAAGTGTGTGTGCTACATAGCAGCCAAGTATGGGGAAGAGGCAAAAAAGAACCTTTTTTTTCTTTGGTCTTCTTTCCTGCCACACGGTTCCTTCACCTCGGGGCTTCACCCGTAGTACGGGGACTAGAACCGGGTTGGTGCTGCGCTCCGCCTTGCTTCTTCGCTTGCTTTCGACCCTGATACGAGCCTATTAGACCGAGTTCGCGCTGGATCTGCCATGGCGGGCGTGACATCTTTTGACATTAACCATGACAGGATTGCATCCCCGAGTTCCCCATGGGATAATGGTGTATGGATTAGGCCGAGAATACATACGGCATGTTCGGATTAGGAAGCGAGTCATCCTATGTAGATGTTTTACGGTATGAACTATTTTCCTGTTTGTTTTGTCAATCGTCGAGGACCAGCGTTCTCGAAACCTACGGAAATAGATAAAAGGTAAATTTGGTTTAACCACAACGCAAGAACGATTATGACAACTGGATCAATAATTGGTGAATGAAACATTCAACATTCAACATTCAGCAAACAAAAGATTCTCGAAGCAGAGAGTAACATACATATTGTGGGGGTCAGAATACCGCCGTCGGATGCATGACGCGTGTAACAAGCTCGGGATGAATGCAACCTACATACCTCCCATACCTCCCATACCTCCCAAACTTTGGCACCTCGCCGCGTTCGAGAAACGTAATCCACTTAAACTACAGACGGAGAACTAAAGACGGAGCTAGGTCCAGCTAGGTTTACAAGGCCGTGACCCCGAGGGGATTATCCTCTGGGGCCTGGAGTGCTCTGGTCATTTTGCGGGTTGTCCTCGTGCTTTAGACGTGGAGACGCTTGCTTTCTGCTCATCTCGTCCGGGGAGTGGAGGTGGAGGTGGGGTCTTCAGGAGAAAGCTTGGACGAGAAAGATCTAGGCTGGGTTAATCAACCGTGCCGTGGTCCTGGGTAAGATCATACACACACATACATATACACACACACACAACGCGCATTTAAGAAGATCTGACTCCCCTTGATGTATCACATCTCCTTCTCTCTCTCTCTCCCACACGCTTCCTTACCTTCTCTACTATCCACCACCCCTCCGCGACCCTATCTGGGTACTTGGCATATAGCAGCTGCCCAGCGCTTAGTAGACCTTGGTATTGCTAAACCTGCCTTGCGGCAAAGCAATCGACCTCTCACAACTAACTACCAATCCGACGTCGACGACTTGAGTCTCGTTCGCGATGGCGGGAGGTGCCGTGGTCCAGGGGTCCACCGACCCTAACCGGGTCGAGGCCCCGGTTACACTCAAGGCCTACCTCATGTGCGCCTTTGCCGCCTTCGGTGGTATCTTCTTCGGATACGACAGCGGTTATATCAACGGTGTCATGGCAATGCCTTATTTCATCAACCAAATCGAGGGCCCCGGTGCCAGTGAACTCACCGGCGATCACAAGTCTCTCATCACTTCGATCCTGTCTGCGGGTACTTTCTTCGGTAGGTGACCAAGGCCGTTCCTTGTTCTATAATATATATATATATATATATGTATATATATGTATATATATTATGTATAAGAATTTAATCCACTGACTACTATATCAGGTGCTCTTATTGCTGGTGATCTAGCTGATTGGTATGGTCGACGTACCACCATCATCGGCGGCTGTATAATTTTCCTTGTCGGTGTTGCTCTTCAGACTGCCTCGGCTGGCTTGTCTCTTATTGTCGCTGGTCGTGTTGTTGCTGGTTTCGGTGTCGGTGCCGTTTCCGCAATTCTGATCCTGTACATGTCTGAGATCGCCCCTCGCAAAATCCGTGGTGCCCTCGTCTCGGGTTATCAGTTCTGCGTGACCATCGGTCTGCTATTAGCATCGGCCGTCGACTACGCCACTCAAAACCGAAACGACAGCGGATCTTACCGCATTCCCATCGCTCTCCAGATGCTTTGGGCTCTCATCCTCGGCATCGGCCTCTTCGTCCTCCCGGAATCTCCTCGATACTTTGTGAAGAAGGGCCAGCTTGACAGGGCTGCCACGGTACTTGGGCGCCTACGTGGTCACTCCGTCGAGTCTGAGTACATCCAGGACGAACTTGCCGAGATCATCGCGAACCACGAGTACGAGATGTCGGTTGCCCCCGAGGGAGGATACTGGAGTACCTGGACGACCTGCTTCCGCGGCTCCATATTCAAGGGCAGCAGCAACCTTAGGAGAACGATATTAGGAACTTCGCTGCAGATGATGCAACAATGGACCGGTGTTAACTTTGTCTTCTATTACGGAACTCAGTTTTTCAAACAACTCGGTACCATTCAGAACCCATTCTTAATCTCCCTCATCACCACGCTCGTCAACGTCTGCTCGACCCCTATCTCGTTCTGGAGTATGGAAAAGATCGGTCGCCGACCTCTACTCATCTGGGGTGCCCTTGGAATGGTTGTCTGCCAGTTCATCGTTGCCATTCTGGGTACAGTGACCCAAGCCGACGCCGCTGTTAAGACTATGATTGCTTTCATCTGCATCTACATCTTCTTCTTCGCCAGCACTTGGGGCCCGTAAGTTCATCCCCCCACCCTCTTGACTTTTATTCCGTTTGATCAAGTAGACGCTAACATCTGTCTAGTGGAGCTTGGGTTGTCATCGGCGAGATCTACCCGCTACCCATGCGTGCTCGCGGTGTCACTCTCTCCACCGCCAGCAACTGGCTGTGGAACTGCATCATCGCTGTCATCACCCCTTACATGGTAGACACGGACAAGGGCAACCTTGGTCCCAAGGTGTTCTATGTCTGGGGCGGTCTCTGCACTATCTGCTTCGTCTACGCCTACTTCTTAGTTCCCGAGACCAAGGGCTTGACTCTGGAGCAGGTGGACCGCATGTTGGAGGAGACCACGCCCAGGACATCGGCCAAGTGGGTGCCTCACTCTACCTACGCTGCCGAAATGGGCTTCACCGATAAGGCCGCTGTATCCAACGTCGAGCATGCCTCCAAGGAGGACGTATGAGCGTCAAGTAATGAGACAATGGCGTAAAGCAGCACGAGGGGGTGCTCTGGGTATGGGTATTTGACATGATCACTTTGACATCCGCATTAGCGTATCGTATATTTAGTATTAGCAAAACATGATAATTCCAAACAAATCATTGAGCGATTTAATCCTTACCAGTCTTGAGCGTGGCAACACGAATACGTAATGATCTATCCTGTGCCTTTATTAAACATTGTCCTTTGCGTCCTTCCAACTTTCCTTATATATTCTCAATGACTATGAAGCCGTAGGGGTCATCTCTTAAATGTGTTAGTATAGTTTACCTTCTAACATACCTTGTTACTTGAATCTAAGTTGTTATAGGGTTCTCAACTTCGTACTCAAGGGTTCAGCTCTAGTACCAAACTTAGAGATAACAATATGATAGTCCTACGTCTGTATTGAAGCTCTACCCCTATGAGATATACATACAGTGAGACTTGCTGGATTAACTAGACACGTGCCACGCCTAAATATTAACAACCACAGACTCATACACTTCGATTTACCTTAATACCGATTGGATTTAACGTA